TCATTGAAGACATTTATAAAATAAAATACTTTGTTTATTTCTACTTTCTATAACATCTTATAAGCATGTGTTACACGAAATTAAGGCCTTCAAAATGTTTCATGTTATTTACATTACTGGCCTGAAAATGCTCATTCTTCAAGAAAAATACATCAGGAAGTGAATATTTCCTTTTCTATCTCATAGAGTGAGGATGTTACCACATCTAGATCTTTATTAATAAGAGGCTGATCAGAAATGCGAGTAGACTTGGATTTTGATTTCCTCTTTTTTTTCTCTCCCACAACTACAGATATTGGAATATCGTTTCCTGGATTGGCCAAAGATGAATTCCAAGTATTTGTACAAACCTCTTTCCCTTTCCATATCTGATAAAAACGGGTATTTGACATAGGATATTTGTCTCTAAGCATATCTAGAGGTTTGGATTTTGCATCTTTATATTGCATAATATAATCATAGTCTTCTGATGATAGCCTAAGTGCATCAGATCGCATGGTCTTGATAATATAAAAAATTATTCGTATTATCGGTAATATCGGTAATATCAATAATATCAATAATATAAAAAAAAATTATCAGTAATATCAATAATATCAATAATATAAAAAAAAATTATCAGTAATATCAGTAATATCGGTAATATCGGTAATATCGGTAATATCGGTAATAATTCTTTCATAATATCAGTAATATTGGTAATATCAATAATATTGATAATATTAGTAATATATCTATTTCTTAGCATTTATTTTTTGGAATATATGGGAAAAATCATATGGCCAATGTACGTACATTGCGAGATACCAAAAGTATGGAATCCAAAAAAATACAAGGGCAGGGGTATAGGCTTGGTAGTGCCCGCGAACAAGAACTCGAGGAGGCATTACGTGATAGTATCAAGTCCAATTCCGAAATTACTAGTGAATATAAAAATATGCAAGTGGTATACTTGAATCATAGCAAAAATACCAATAAGGAGAATGATCAATTACGTCGCAATAATGAGAAACTCTCCAAGCATGTATATCAGCTTATAGATGAGGTTAAGTGACTGCGCTCAAAGATAGATACTCTCAAATCCCGTATCACTGATAAAGATCTTTCACTTAGTGATTTCAAGGCTGATATTCGTACAAAATCCAAAGAAATGAAAACTTTCTTATCTAAGATAGAGGCATTGGAGACGAAATTATCTTCAGCTCAGAAAGACTTGTCTATGAAAGAATCTGAGATTGACCCCCTTAGGGCCGAATTATCTGCCTTGAATTCTAATCTAGTTTCGAAAAATAGTGAATTGGTGCATATGGAGAATATATTGGCTTCGAAAGATGACAAATTGAAACAAATGAAAGATTATCTGGCCTTGAAAACTTCAGAGATACACTCCTTAGAATCCAAGTTATCGTCAGAACCAATCAAGATCGGTGGCGAGGTAGATGAAAAAAAAATACCGAATTCTGTCTCACGGAGTGAGGATGCTTTTGCATCTGATATCTATGCAGTTAATAAACCTATAAAAGATTTTAGTAAATTTTTGCGCAAAAAAAATATGGACAAAAACGATGCACCTCAACTCAGTGTTACCATAAATAAGGTTAATGAGGATACAAAGCCTCGAAACACCAATTCCTCAGGATTATCTAATATGAAGTCTTCTACCAGTGAAGATAGTCATGCTAATGATCAAAATCATACAGCTGAAATAGAAATGACCGAGATATTACCTGTTGGGGCAGTACCTATCATGGCCAGTAATTTGTTTTCGCCTATATTTATGTATGCGATTCTTGCTTTTTTGATACTTGCAGTTATATGGTTCATGGTAATTAAGCCTATACGAGATGCAAGAAAAAAAGATACAGCTCATACTCTATTATATCATTAATATATTACATTATTATAGTGTGTTTTACACCACGTGATTTTAGATCTTTAAGCGCATCGTTCATCATTTTTACAGCTTTTTTTTCCTCCTCTATATCAAATGGTTCTTTCAACAAAAAAGCGCAAATCATCAAGAGTTAATTTCTATAATCGTCTAATAATAAAGCAGGTCCTGGTATAACTATTCCATCTTGCCCTATTCGTTGACTTATCAAACGAGTTGCTAGTGGATTTACAGGTAGGCCTTTGCTCTGACCATCATCGTCACAAAATAAAATCAAATCAAAGCCTTTTGGTCCGAAAATTGTTATGTGATCACTATAATCACTTTGCAGTATCTTACAAATGTCTCCTTTTTTAACATTAACTTGTTTTATTTCTGGAGGGCCACGTACAGGTATGTATATTCCTTGAGAAACTTCTTCCATAATTAGCTAATATAATCTTGTCAACTCGGACAATTTTAAATGTGAATTCTAATGAAGCTTTTGTGTCGAGTAAATAGCTTTGTATACAGAAAATAAAAGCACGAAAAAATTCAAATCAAAAATTAATATTCCGATACCTGGATCATATAAAGGGGTTTTTGTGTCGTGCGATTCTGATTGATCCGATTTTTTAGATTCAGTAGTATGCAAAGTAAGAATAAAATTTTCAATATGGTGATCCGCAAAAGTAATCAAAATTTTTGATACATAAAAGTGATACACTAAAGTAAGATTTAAAATTTTTGATATGGTGATACATAAAAGTAAGAATAAAATTTTCGTTCCAATAATACACAAAGGTATGATCCAATTTTTTATACGGAAAGTGATACGCAAAAGTGTGATCCAAATTTTTGATCCAAAGTGATACGCAAAAGCGTGGAATTTTTCGAATTGGTAGTACGCAAAAGTGATACGCAAAAGTAAGGATAAATTTTTCGATAGTAAAATGACAAAGCATAGGTCGATTTTTTGACAAGAAAAAATGATACTCAAAAGCATCAACTATACGAGAAAGTGTTCCAGGACCGCAAAACATAGTATACTTTCGGTGATAGCCAAAAGTATAATTATTATAGAAAGATATATATTATAAAATTGTGCCTTTGGATAACACCAGGTAAGTATACAATTTCGGCACTTCGTGCCTCATCCTCGAATTCGAATGTGACATGCAAAGCCAAAATATGGATTGCCAATTCGGCACTTCGTGCCTCAAACCTGGCATTCGAATTCAAGATACAAGGCCAAAATAAGCATTTTCCTCGAGTGCTACTTATAGGTGACCGTCAACACGTGTTGACGATGGACACAAATGCTACATGACGGAAACTGAAATCGCGGGGACAGATTTTTTTGGCATGTGGCCAGATTTACGAAATACGCCATGCACCAATGTCAATTGACTTTTATGTACACTTTTAGTGATCGTTATGGACGTCAATAACGATGAACTTTTGGGTCCCCGAAAGTGGCCAACTTCATTTTTCCTGGAGTGGTACTTATAGGTGACCGTCCACACGTGTTGACGATGGACACGAATGCTACATGGTGGAATCTGAAATTGCACTCAGAGCATGGAAAACGTTTTTTGGATTTATAATGAAAACGACACCCTTCAAGGCGCATACAAGATTTTCCTGGAGTGGTACTTATAGATGACCGTCAACATGCGTTGACGATGGATACAAATGCTACATGGCGGAGACTGAAATCGCGGAGACTGATTTTTTCGATCAATCGTCATCCAAATGACGACGAATTCGCTGATCAATCGTCATCCAAATGATGACGAATTTGTGGATCAATCGTCATCCAAACGACGACGAATTCGTGGGTCAAATCGTAACCCAAATGGTGACGAATTCGTGAATCAATCGTAACCCAAATGACGACGAATTCGTGAATATCAAGCCAATTAGGCACCAAAACAGGTACCCAAAAATAATTAGGTATCAGTCTAATCATAAGTAGGTATCAGTCTAATCATAAGTAGGCAACAGTCTAACGTAAGTAGATAGCAGTATATATATACTGCTATCTACTTTGTCCCTCCAATGATATATAATGCAATTGAACTTCAAGGAGAGGTACCGGGCTCTCAGGTTTATGATGGTGTTGCATTATTGTCAAGGAGGCTGTTAAAGCCTTTCACTTGTCTGAAGTCTTCCAACATGCGGGGCCCCCATAACTGTGGTAGGGGCGGCTCCGCAGTTATGGGTTCCAATAGCATTTAGCATGCAAATGCGTGTTGCAGAGGATACTTAATTAAAACTGACACATGTAATCATCAATATCAGATTTGCTCATTTTATTTTTTTTTTCAGAGATGACTTTTAGGGAACTCTAATTGTATGCAATTGGGAGTGTACACATACGCACACACATATACAACATGCTTACAATTGTGCATGGGATCAAATTTGTGTGAGTGGGGCGAGAGTTTGGGTACGAAATTCACACAGATTTCATATTCATGCATGACACAAAAAGGAACAAGCGGAGACGCACCAAGGGTTTATTTTCTAACTCTGCCAATTACGTGGTATCATTACTTGGGTGATGGAATTTATCAATTTATTTATTTGTTAACTCTTTACAAATTAAGGACAATGTATTACTAATACGGAATTCGCAATTTTCCGTATCATGAGATAAAATGTATCAAATTTCAAATTAACTGAAATTACTATTACATGTATTTGATCTATAGATAAGGAAATTCCATATGAATTAATAAAGTATACATATCATGAGAAAAAACGTATCAAATTAACTGAAATTACCACAACTCAGACAATATCTGTCTGTTTTGGATAAAAACAACTACCATTTGAATTCTCTAGATGAGATGTCTAATTCATAAAATTCTAATCACTAGTTTTATTTTAAGATCGAATATTCACGTGAATCTCACGGTCACTGGAACTCGCGAATTATATAAATTTTATAAATTTTTTTTATTCAACATAAAATAATAATTTTAAATAAAATCTAATAATGTCCACATAAAATTAATTAATTAATTAAAAATAAATAATAAATAATTCTATTACTGCTCGCAATAAATAATAATCACACACACATTAGCTATTAAAAATCTATTAGTTAAAATTGGATGAATTTTTAATAAACAATTACTGCAATGCCACGCTGAGCAATCATTTTCTTTTCAGAAGGTTTGGCATCAACGTTAACAGCAAACAATAAATCACTTCTGTCTTCGTTAAGGTACACAGGAAGATTGACAGTGTTTTCATTAGTTTCAGCTACTTCCGTCTTTAATACCCACCGAATTTGTGATAATTCTAATTTGATCATCGGATTCGCTACAATTTGAATTTGTTTGTTTTGATATTGTGCTCCTGCAAGTCTTACGCCTAAAATAAAAAATTAAGAAAAATTAAATAATTAAATAATTAAATATTAAATAAAATAGATGCTTAATTTAGGTAAATAAATAATACCTGATACTGTGAATGAATCTGGTGATCCTGCAGTATTTAAATCAAATTCTAATCTTAATTCTTCAAGTGACCATTTGTGTTTTTGTGCTACTGCTTGTCGTGTAGCTGTAATGTATGCCTCAGGCATAAAAAGTCCACCTAGCCATACTTCTAAACTAGTATAGTCGCTCTCCTTTGTTATCTCTTCAAGTTGCTGTAAACGACTCTTGAAATCTGCAATCCAATGATTCAAAGAAACCGATCTAGGTACTTTATATTTTTTCCAATGATCTGGTATCATACCTATTCATTCATTTATAATTTTAAATATGTTAAACAAAAAATCAATATATAAAAAAAATAATATAAATTATATATGAATTTGTTACTAACCTTTTGTTAAGCAATTAAGTAACATACGCAAATGATTTGTTTGTTTCAATTCTCCTTCACAAACTAATTTAATGTCATCTAAATCTTGTCTTATTTTCTTTAAAAGGCTACGTCCAATTTGATTTTCACGGTCAAAGAATCTAAATAATGGATTCTTGATACTTTCTGCAGTACGATTCATTGGCTTCAATTTCTATTAAAATCAAAATGCGCACACATAGAATGATCAATTATTTAATTATTTATTGGAAAACTAGTCTTTAATTTTTTTTTCAATTAATTCGGGCCTTACCTCTGGTAATGACTTCAACCAATTGTCTACTGTAGTAAATAATGCTCTCATCCAAGCTGGTTGTAATGATGCTGCAGATGATTGTGAACTTGATTCTTGAGTATATGCAACTTCATCATCGTCAGATAAACTCTTCATCTTACAAATCTTAACAAGCATCGCATTTGCTAAATATTATTCATTAATTATTACATTTAACGTCAAGTTAATCACAAAAAGCCACTTATTAATTAAAACAAACACCCTCACTACCATAAAAATATATTCATAAAATATTATAGATAAAATTACCTTGTGTGGTTGCTAGCACTCTTTCAGCATTACTTTGTAATCCTAACCATACTGGTGGCTCACGATCCGGTAATTTGTTAACCCATTCCATGAATTGATCAATTTTAGATCCTTCAGGTATCACCAATTTATTGTCCTCTTCTGATATTACAAGTGGAAAGTCTAGATCATATGAAGTTGGTGTAAATAAATTGTTTACAAAATTCTCTAATAGCCGTTTATCAAATTCATTGTCAACACGACCACCATAAGCCACTATTGATATTAATATACGAATAGCATCCCATGGTATTTTTTCAGGTGCTATATTTGCTCTGCCTTGAGCAACTGAATCCAACCATGCATCAATAGTATTGAATGCAAAATCTTGATCAGAATCATTGAATTCATAAATCTTTGTCCAACCAAGTGGTACATATCGAAGTCTTTCTTGAACAATTGCGTGTAACCACGAAAGTAAAAAGTATAAACGAACTCTTTCGGTTGGGCCTTTGGAAATACGGCTGGCTGGTATGCTTTTAAGTGATTCGTGAAGATTAGCTTTAATTCCTGGTGGTGGTTCAAACATCAAGACACGAGATAGACGTAATAAATTCACTGGTACTTTTGGATTTGTTTCCATGGTAAGGAACAATCTGAAATTTCTATTTGGTTTCATACTATGTAATTTCTTTTCTAAATGTCCAAGCCATGATGGTGCAAGATGTACATTCTTCAATAATACCCATTCACCATTTTTAACTGATGCTGCAATAGCTTGATCTGCTAACGTAAATCCTTCTTGTGATCCCATTGCAACTGATTTACATTTAATATTAAGTTCTGCTACAAG